TGACAGAAATGGGGCTGGGGATCAAACCTGCAACCTAGGTATGTGTCCTTGATCAGGACTCAAACCCAGGACCCTTGGTTGCAGTGCCTGACACTCTAACCACTGAGCAATACCAGCCAGTGCTAAAGTACTGTAAAACAAATCGCTGTGTGAAACACTAGACCTTCTGCCTTTTCCTCTAAAAGCTGTGTTCTCAAAATGAAGACTATAAAGATTGTGTTTTATTCAGTGAACCTTAGCATCTTTACAGCAAATGCTGAATATACAATTTATATCTTTATATATCATGAGTTACAAATGAAAACTTTAGGAGTATTTTACTAACATGTCTTTGATGGAGGTGAGTGTTAAATCTCCCTGCTGGTTTTAGAGAAAGCAAGACAGTCTTAAAAACCATGCTAATAAAGTCCTGTAAAATACAAATAGTGAGAGAATATGCACCTAAAGAACTTCAAAGCTAAATAATAATGGTGTTGGAATTCAATGAGTAGAGTTTGAACAGTGCCTGCAATAGTCCTGAGACCTAGTCTTTGCTTAGGGGAACTTGGCTATGACCATGGTTATTACTCTTTAAAAAATTACCTACGTTGGGCCGTCAGGCCTGGCTCAGCAGTTGAACATCGACCTAGGATCCAGGAGATCGTGATTCAATTCCCAATCAGGGCACATGCCGGGGTTGTGGGCTTGATCCCCGGTCAGGGGTGTGCAGGAGGCAGCCAATCAATGACACCCCTCTCATCATTGATGTTCCTCTCTCCCCTTACCTCCCTGAAATCAATATTAATATATATTAAAATGACCTCCATTTAATTTTTCTTATAGATTGTATCTTAAAAGTGTACTTGTATCTCTGCTACTGGAACCTGGAGTAAGGATCTCAGTTGTGACCCAGTGTGTTGTGCACTGAGGTGATGGTTTGTGTTCAGGATTATGTTCCAACCCCAAAAATCCTTGATGCAGACACAGAAGAATGGAAGGTAGGACATGGGTGAAGAACATGGTCAGGGCTGCATGGAAAACATGGTGATGACCATTGTCTCATACAGCCAGTAGGGATATAGGGGACAGAATTACATGGGCAGTGGGCCCTCTGCATGGAAGAGAGGTGAGCACTTGCAGTGAGACCAGGATCCTGTAGGTCTCCAACATCACTTCCAAATATTTGGCCCCAGAATTCACGTCCAGTTGTCCCCTCCCCTGCAGGGTGAATGTCAGTGCTACATACGGACATCAACTGAAGAGTTAAACTGACGCATGAATTTCATCACAGTAGGTGGGATCACAACTTGACACCCAAAATGAGGGTGAAGGTGCAGAGACCCAGCCCAAATTACTGAGGTCTCCCAAGGGTCACTCTATGCTGGGATCAAAGGGGAGGCATACAAATTGTAGCTAAGTCTCAAAGAAGGTTCCATTGGAGAAACTGTTGGAGCTAACAAATTATGGCTTTCCCTTGAACACTGGGAGGCTAAAGGTAAGTGCTGCGAGATGTTAGGGGAATGGGAGGAAATCAAAACAGCAACAATGGGAACAGCAGCTTCAGCTGAACCAGCCTGGTCCTTAGATTGTATCTGCCTTAGTTAGGGCTTCACATCTGTGGTACAGATTGTTTCTGGCCCTGGAGAAAATACTGGGTCAAAATCCAGCCCCTTGAATCTGACATCTTTCTGTTGTGTAAACTTGGGGAACCTACTTCATTTCTCTAATTCCCATTTTTTATCAACAATTTGATATTAGTTTCCACTTCTTAGGTTGTTGTGAGAATTAAGAGAAAATACTCAAAAAGCTAACCCTGGAATCTGGGTAATCAAAAGTACTCAGTTTGTTACTTTTATTGATCTTCAGAGGCCAAGGTAAGTGCCATCATCACCCTTATTTCACATTCAGCAAAATGAGTTTCAGGGATCGCTAGTGAGTCACCTGGAGATTCCCAGGCTGAAATCCAGAAGAGATCTCAGGGTCCACAGCACCTGCTTATTTGGAGGTGGGTCATTCGGATCTTATAAGCCACATTTCTTTCTAAAAGACACCCCAAAACAAAGGTGCTTGTGGGCATTGGGGGAGTGAGGGGTGCCTAGCATGGGAATGTCCCTGTAGGCAGAAGTAAGTGTTGCTCAAGTCAAGGCAGGCTGAAGGCACAGAGCTGCTTTACTGCAAAAGGAAACTTTAGCCCTTGACCTCCAACAGCTCAGGGATGGAAACATAGCTTATACGTGTTTTACACAGGAGAAAACTGAAGCCCAGACCAAAGGAAGGGGTCATTTCCCTGTAAGTCCCAATGATATTCAAGAATCTAAAATTCAAATCCAGGATGCCCAACACAGGGCATGGGGAGTCTGATCACTGCTATCCAATTTCCCTCTGCACTGGCTTTGAGACTCCCAAACACCCTGCCCATCCTGATGCCATTTGGTCATTGCATTGTGCATAGCATTAAAAAGCTAACAAATATTAGAAAATATTCCAATACAAAAAAACATTTATTTTATAAAGCAAAAAAGGCACAAAATGAGTGAAATTCCAATATCCACCTTTGTTCTTTCACTGCCCTTTTGTTAAAGAAAACTGACCAACCTCATACTAGAATAGGCAGAACACCTGACCAGACATTTTACTACAGATACAGAGGAACCAAATACATATCTGAGTAAAGGCTGCTCCTAACTTTGTTCAACAAGTCAGAGTTAGCTTTCCTGAGCCTAAGGATGGTGACTGATGCAACCTGTGGACACTTTATAGGTAACACAGGTGACACTACTTCAGCAACAGAAATATTCAGTGAGACAGATCTGGAAAAACATCTGGGTAGATTAGAAAATACAACATATGCACATATGTTTTTCAAACAAGTAAAATTGATGGGAAACCTCCCTACTGTTGACATTTCAATGTATGAGATTCAATTCAGACAAATTATGCTTCACAGGGTTTACTATACTATTGAAAAATTGTACATTTCCTATACATCAAACACCTTCCTCCCAGGTGAACTGTTATGTGTGGAGGAATGTTAGGATTTTGGATACATTAACTACACTCCTAAGTCCTTTCTCTAGTGTGAACTCTCTGATGATTACGAAGGCTTTGGATCCTGGTAAAAGATTTCCCACATTCACCGCACACATAAGGCCTTGTCCCAGTGTGAATTGTCTCATGATAACGAAGGCCAGTTCTACTGGCATAAGATTTCCCACATTTAGAGCACTCATAATGCTTTTCTCCAGTGTGATCTCTCTGATGAAAACGAAGGGAACTGATGCTGATGTAAGATTTTTCACATACACTGCACTTATAAGGCTTTTCTCCAGTATGTAATCTCTGATGATCACGAAGGCTATACAGTGAGGCAAAGGATTTCCGACATTCACTGCACTCATATGGTTTTTCTCTCGTGTGAACTCTCTGATGATAACGAAGGCTTTGGATCCTGGTAAAAGTTTTTCCACACTCACTGCACTCATAAGGCCTAGACCCAGCGTGAACTGTCTCATGATAGCGAAGACCACTTCTACTGGTATAAGATTTCCCACATTCAGAGCACTCATAATGGCTTTCTCTAGTGTGATCTCTCTGATGAAAACGAAGGGAACTGATACTGTTATAAGATTTTTCACATTCACTGCACTTATAAGGCTTTTCTCCAGTGTGTAATCTCTGATGATCACGAAGGCTATATATCGAGACAAAGGATTTCCCACATTCACTACACTCATAAGGTCTTTCTCTTGTGTGAACAGTCTGATGACGACGAAGGTAATAGATCATAGTAAAAGATTTCCCACATTCAGTGCACTCATAAGGCCTTTCTCCTGAGTGAACTCTCTGATGACGATGAAGGCATTTGATCATAGTAAAAGATTTCCCACATTCAGTGCACTCATAAGGCCTTTCTCCTGTGTGATATCTCTGATGATCACGAAGGCCAGTGCTAGTGGTAAAAGATTTCCCACATTCATTGCATGCATAAGGCCTTTCTCCTGTGTGAAATCTCTGATGATAACAAAGATTAGTGCTAGTGGTAAAACATTTTCCACATTCATTGCATTCATAAGGCTTTTCTCCTGTGTGAAATCTCTCATGAATACGAAGATTAGTGCTAGTGGTAAAAGATTTCCCACATTGACTGCACTCATAAGGCCTCTCTCCAGTGTGAACTCTCTGATGACAACGAAGGGAATCGATCCTGCCAAAAGATTTTCCGCATTCATTGCACTCATAAGGCTTTTCTCCAGTGTGAACTATCTGATGACTACGGAGGCCACTGTTACAGGTAAAAGATTTCCCACATTCACTGCACTCATAAGGCCTTTCTCCAGTGTGAACTCTCTGATGACAACGGAGGCCACTGCTACAGCTAAAAGATTTCCCACATTCATTGCATTCATAAGGCCTTTCTCCTGTGTGAAATGTCTGATGATAACGGAGGCCAGTGTTACTTGTAAAAGATTTCCCACATTCATGGCACATATAAGGCCTTTCTCCAGTGTGAATTCTCTGATGATAACGAAGAAAACAGATCCTTGTAAAAGATTTCCCACAATGACTGCATTCATAAGGCCTTTCTCCAGTGTGAACTCTCTGATGATAAAGAAAAGTAGACATTTTGGTAAAATACTTACCACATTCACGGCACACAAAACACTGTCTTCCAGTATGAACTCGCTTGTCTTGAACAAATGTGAGCTTGTGGCCAATGGCTTTCTTACATTCTTTCCTGGTACGATAATTTTTTCTACTTTGAAAAGTAATGGCAGATGTCGAGATTTCCTTTGGCCTATCCCTGGTCTGAGTAGCCCTTTGGTAGAGACGTCCTGACCTGGTAAGGATCCCCTGCCCAACTGTGCCATTGGTAAAATTTTTCTGAAACACATTGAAATTGTAGCCCTTTGCAAGCGAGATCCTCTCCAGACCTCTAATAAAGGGCTTCTCTCTCACATGCTGCTGCTGGTGAAGTTTTGTAGTGAAATAAAATTGTTTTGCACATGCCCCACACCTCAAAAGCATCTGGCTGTGTTGTGTTCCCTGTAGGTCAATCAAGTGGAAAATGTTTCTCAAGACCAACCCACAACCCTCACAGGGGTGGCTCTTCTGGGAAGACAAAGGTAACTTTAGATTCTTTGCCCGTGTTACTCTTACAGACATGCTCTGTTCAGTTGGTGCCTCCACATTCTCCGCTCCACAGCAGCAACCTGTACAAAAGGAAATGTTGATGAAGTACATGTTGACCTTAGAGGGAAGGAATATCCTCATCACAAATGTCCAGCTGTCATAGCTAGACATGATTTTCAAGACAAGTGAGTTAGACTCTGAGGAAATGCATGTTACACATTACTTGATCACAAAGGTCAGCCAATGGTGGAGTCCTCACCAAGGGATGGATAGAAGCATAGAATGGGACACTAAGAAGAGAGGCAGCATTCACCAGTTGTTCCTTCAGAAAGACTTCTGGTGGTAGTTTTCATGCTGGTGATGTGAGTCTGTGTAGAATAATTTGAATATGCTCAAACCTATAAATATCAATTGTATCAGAGCACAGGATATTTAAGGTCAATATAATGATACATGCATACTCCAAGGGTCTGTAGGCATGGACCAAGGCAGGAGTGCAGTAAAGAGGAACCTGTGAGGGAAATGGTTGAGGTGCAAAGTTTAGAGAGGTGAAGATTATCCATGAGCTGGGAATCCTAGTAGAAAGATAAATATTAGAACTGAGTAGTTGGCAAAGTGTCAACAATAAGTAAGCACAAGTAGAATGGGGTTAGAAACTGGCAATGATAAAATCCTGCTGAACAAAGTGGATTCCACGTCATGACCTTTAAAAATCCCTGGCTTCAATCCTTCTCCAATAGCCCTTCACCAATCCAAGACCTCCTCTGGGCACAACCTGCCATGGACGGAGTCATGTTTCTCCAGTGATACAGAAATGATTCCTCCTCCTTAAATCCCAGGTTGAGCAATTACATGGGATACAGATGATGAAAAACTGAAGAGATGGATGGCCAGCACTGTGTAGAGCAACAAATCACAAAAGCAACCACAGTAAAAAAGAAAAAAAAAAAAGGTGAGTGACACCAGCAATATGGCACAAGAATTCATCTCCCTCCCAGTACAAGTAGTGAGCTATCCACAAAGACAACACAGGAGATGGGAATTAGCACCCATAAAGACAAACAGCAAAGAGCAAAAAGGGGAGAATTGCATAGAAATGATGACTGAGAAGACTCGGTGAGTAAACATACTTGAAGATGGCTAGGGTCAAAAACAAAAGAGTCAGAGTTACCTCTATCAGCCACAGTGCTTGTGCTACCATTGACCTTAGTGGCCTGTTCCATGAAAAACACTCGAAAATTCTGTTTTGAAAAACCTCAGAAGGCCCTTGTAACATCAGTGAACTCCCCACAATATACACATCAAAATACCCTATAGAGTTTCTTGGCATAAATTACCAAAAAAAATCCTTTTGGATATAACCTACCATAGAAAAGAGACAAAAATCAGTATGTCCCTGGCAGTATTTTCCACCACAGATCTCAAAACCCTTATTGAAAAAAATTGCTGCCAAAACCATTGTGGATCGTACATTGTTACTCTGACCTCAGCTCATTGAGCATCAAGGAGGCTAGGCTGTTGAAGCTTTCCTCAAGATCAAAACACAACACTCCTCCCAGCCAACACTTTTGATTCCACATGCAGATTAATCTATTTCTCAGGCCAGAATTGGTCCATAAGGTTGAAAGGAGTAAAGGATTAACTGCTTCATCAAATGTGTAGACATCAACACAGGACTAGAAGAAATACTAATAACATAGACACCATCAAGAGAACATAATAATTTTCTACTAATAAATACGAAACAAATGGAGATCAACATACAGCCTGATAAGTAATCCAAAATACTTACTTTTAAAAACAGCAATGAGTTATAAGAAAATACAAATGGAACCAATATAATGAAAAAACCAACACAGGAACAAAAGAATATCAAATCGACAGAAATCATAAAAAAGAATGTAACAGAAGTGCTGGAGTTGACAAATAAACAATGAAGGAAATGAAAAATGCAATAATGACTATCAAAATCAGACATGAAAGAATATGTGATGTCAAAGACACATCATTTGAAGTCATCCAGGTAGAGAGGAAAAAAGAAGAAAAATAAATTTAGCCTGGCCAGGCATGGCTCAGCGGTTGAGCATCGACCTAGGATCTAGGAGATTAAGGTTGAATTCCCGGTCAGGGCACATGCCCGGGTTGTGGGCTCAATCCCCAGTCAGGGGCGTGCAGGAGGCTGCCAGTCGATGACTCTCTCACCATTGATGTTTCAATTCTCTCTCCCTCTCCCTTCCTCTCTCTCTAAAATCAGTAAAGATATATTTAAAAAATAAGTAAACAAACAAATAAATTTAAAGAAACAGCAATGTGATTTAAGTAACACCATCAAGATATCCAATATTTGCATTATGGGAATCCAAGGAAACACCTTGGTGGGGTGGTTAGTGGAAGAAAGAGAAAGAGACTAAGAACAAAAAGGGAAAAAGAAAAAGTGGTAAAAAATTATTTAAAAAAATAAGCTGAAGCCCGGCCGGGCGTGGCTCAGCGGTTGAGCGTCAACCTAGGATCCAGGCAATTGGAGTTAGATTCTCCGTCAGGGCACATGCCCAGATTGCAGGCTTGATCCCCAGTTGGGAGCGTGCAGGAGGCAGCCAATCGATGACTCTCTCATCATTGATGTTTCTACCTCTCTTTCTCCTTCTCCCTCTCCTTTCCTCTCTTTAAAATCAATAAAGATATATTTTTTAATAAATGAATAAATAATAAATAAAATAAAAAATCAGCTGAAGACTGGCCTCCTAAATTTGAGAAAGAGATGTGAATAATCAAGTGCATGCATTCTCAAAGGTCCCTGTACAGATTCTATGCAAACTGGACTTCACCAAGACACATTGTAAATAAAAGTAACAAAAATCAAAGGCAAAGAGAATTGTGAAAGCACAAAGAAAATAGAAACCTTTTGTACAAAGGGAAATGCCCAAACAAGGGTATCAAATGATTTGTCTGAAAAGTTCAGGAAGCACAGAAAGTTCCAAGGAAGAACAACCCAAAGGCCCATGTCCAGACACATCATAATTAAAATGCCAAAAATTCAAGACAAAGAGAGAATCTTAAAGGCAGCAAGAGCAAAACAATTTGTCACCTACACAGAAGCTCCCATAAGGCTGTCAGATGATTTCTCATCAGAAACTCTACAGGCCAGAAGGGAATGGCATGAAGTATCCCAGGTAATGAAAAATAGGGAAGTGAAGCCAAGACTACTCTATCCAGCAAGGCTATCATTCAAAATAGATGGTGAAATAGAGTGTCCCAGACAAAATAAAAGGCTAAACGAGTTTATCACTACCAAACCAGCACTGCTAAAAATGTTAAATAAGAAGTAGAAATAGAGAAACATAGGCATAAAAAATTTAAATGGCACCCAGTCGGACATGGCTCAGCAGTTGAGCATCAACCTAGGATGCAGGAGATCGCGGTTCAATTCCTGTTTGGGGCACATGCCCGGGTTGCACGTTCGATCCCTGTTGGGGGGGCATGCTGGAATAAATACACATAGACCAATAGAACAGAACAGAGAACACAGAAATAAACCCAGGCACATATGTTCAAGTACTCTTTGACAAAAACACAAGACACATAAGAAAGGAAAGATAGTTTCTTCAATGAATGGTGCTGGTAAAAATGAGTATTCACACGTAAAACAACAAAACTGGAAACCTCTCGTAAAATTTAACTCAAACTGCATGAAAGAATTAAATGACAATCCTAAAATGTAAAACTCCTTCAAAACAATCTAGAGAAAAAGCTTTGGAGATTTGTTTTGGAAATGATTTTCTGGGTGTGACACCAACCACCAGATTAAAAAGCAAAAATAAACAGTCTGGACTACAACAAATGAAAAAGCTTCTTCACATCAAAACAGCCTATTAACAAATGAAGTGAAAAGACAATCTATGAGTTGGGAGAAAACACCTGCAAATGATATGAACATATCAATTGGAGATATTGTGGATTTGGTTCAGATCCCCACAATAAAGCCAGTATCGACATACAGAAAGTCACACAAATATTTGGAATTCTCAGTGAGTAACGAACATGTTAACACTATATTGCAGGCTAATAAAAACCCAATAGCTGTGTGAAAAAAAAACTATATAACTTAAATAAAAATACTTTATTGGTCAACACTGACAAGCTCAGGAAAGGCCTGTGTTGTGGCCTTGCAAACTCAAAAGACCTAAAGTAGCCACAAAGGATGATCTGAAATTAAAGCTTTTTAACTAAAAGCAGTTTATGGTGGGTAGTCATGTCCTAGGCCAGAATCTTCCCTGACAAAAGTCAACCTTTACCTTAACTGAGCCTGTCAACTGTCTTTTGCATCCATGATAACATACCTTTAGAATGTCAAGGTAACTTCCCTTTTTCTGGACTCCTCAGGGCACAACCAATGCACCACTGCAGAGACTACAAATCCTCTCACTGTTATTTTATTTTTTAATATAACTTTACTGATTCCAGAAAGGAAGGGAGGAGGGGGAAATAGAAACACCAATGATGAGAGATTCGTCATTGACTGGCTGCCTCCTGCACGCCCCTGACGGGGGATTGAGCCACCAACTGGGAATTAAGGCCAGGCCTGTGCCCTGACCAGGAATCGAACCCTGACCTCCTGGGTCCTAAGTCAATGTTCAACTGCTGAGCCATGCCCAGCTGTGCTCACTGTTACATTTATCATATTAATATTGACTAGTAACCATCCGTATCCACACAAAGACTTATCACTGTACTTTTTATCCAATTCTAGATGTATCCCCACTTTGCTCTCTCCCACCTCCCCTAATCACTAATGAATTTCATGTATGCCACTTATATCATCTCTTTTGATTGTAATGTATAAAATAAGATGCAAAACTACCATTCTCTGGAGCATTTTCTCAATGCCTTGAGATTTTGCTTCCTGGCAATTGTTGACAGTTTCCCTCAAACTCACAAAAATTCTTCTTTTTTTTAATAACCCTAAACACTTTTTGTTCTTTTTTAAAAAATATGTCTTTATTATAGATTTCAGAGACAGGAAGGGAGAGGGAGCAAGAGAGAGAGAAACAAAATGATGAGAGAGTCATTGATGCCCCACTGGGGATCTAGCCTGCAACCCAGGCATGTGCCCTGACTGGATCGAACCTCCATCTCCTGGATCACAATCGATGCTCAACCACTGAGCCATGCCTGGCCAGGCACAAAAATTCTTTACAGGGTTGATTGTTTCTTAAACTGACATTGGTAAAAAGCATCTGAGCCTGCTGGAAAAATCAGGACACTAGACTTCATGAATGCAGGGTCGCAAAAAACATAGAATTTGTAAAAAAACAAAATGCAGTATCTGTGAAGCACAATTAAGTCCATGCAAAAAGACAAGTACCTGTATATAATACGGAATTAATACATAAAATATAGAAGGTATTCAAAACACTCGCTAGCCAAAAAATCCAGTTACACAATGGGTTAAGAATGTGAAGGCAATATTCCAAAAAATGTACAATTCACCAACAGGAATATAAAAAATGGTTTTCCTCACTAATCGAGGTAGAATCATTAGGTTCCTGTAACATTACCAACAACAAATACAGCAGGTATTGTGACTGCAGGGAAAGAAAAGGGCAAAGCAAACAAATCGCCCTTACAAAGGACAGGAGCTACCTGGAAAACTCTGAAACTAAGAGTGCCACAGTCAACAAATGAAGACAGAGCACACCCTGGCAACAGAGGCAGGAGGAAACCCAAAACCAAGTCCAGGTCAATGAGGGTCTTACCCAGAGAGGATACAAGTTCAAAGTTCTCCTGCATCACATTCAGGTACAGGCGTCTCTGACCCTCATCAAGGAGCCTCCATTCCTTCCTGGAGAAGTACAGGGCAATGTCCTCAAGGGCCACCCCAACCTGTGAGAATTGAGACAACTGAAACCAGAGCAGTCATTCTGAGAACCCGAAATTCTACTCCTTACCCACCTTCCCCACGCTCAGCCTCTTCCAGGGCCCCCCAGTTCAGTGTGGACACCAGGNTTCACCACAGTCCCATTAATCACGGTTACCACCCTCAGCAACAGCAGCTGGGTGGGGGGCACAGCATGTAAATGCCACCTAAGCTCCCGGCCATCCCTGCACGACCCCATCCTGCCTGCCAAGCAACACCACTGCAGTCCCCCTGATCATGCCTCCAACACAAACCTGGGCTCAAGCCTCGCCCTTCGGTCCCCGCACCTAGGCCCCAGNCCGTGCCTCCAACACAAACCTGGGCTCAAGCCTCACCCTTCGGTCCCCGCACCTAGGCCCCAGCACCCTCGGCTCACACTCCTCTGGCTGTGCACCCCACTGGGCAACGGCTACCTCCTTCACACCTCCAGGCCCCGGCTTCACTCACCCGGCGCTGCCCCTTCCTGCTCCGTATCTCAGGGATCTNTCATGCCTCCAACACAAACCTGGGCTCAAGCCTCGCCCTTCGGTCCCCGCACCTAGGCCCCAGCACCCTCGGCTCACACTCCTCTGGCTGTGCACCCCACTGGGCAACGGCTACCTCCTTCACACCTCCAGGCCCCGGCTTCACTCACCCGGCGCTGCCCCTTCCTGCTCCGTATCTCAGGGATCTCTCCGGACTCACCCAGGAGCTTGGCACCTGGCACCCAGAGGGAGCCTCCAGCACTCCACCGGGCCCGCCGCAGCCCCAGCCCTCTGGGGGATCCCGCAGCCGGCAAGCCCCCGACCAGGCCGTGGCGTCCTCCCGCCCGCCTCTGAGCTTCGCTTCAATCCTCCGCACCCAGACGCGCGTGGGCACTTCAGGAACAACCCCCCGTCCACTCTGCCCTGCACTTGCTGTGCCCTCAGCGCACACAGCTCCCCCCTCTCCTCTCAGCCTCCCTCACCGTCCCCCACGCGGGGCTGGGCTGCGGGACCGGACAGGGCCCCGCACCCCGCTGCAGGGTCGCAAGAGAAGGCCGTGCGGGCCCCGGGATGCGCGCTCACCTCAGCCCCGCGCCTCCGCGCAGCCGCCTCCGCGGGACCCTGAG